TTGTATATGCATATATGTATATATATGTAAATACACATACATGTATTATATATGTACAGAATTAGGCCTCTTTCACATCTTATTTATTTGCCTGTAAGTTACATAGTGAAATAAGTAATTTTCAAAATTATAAATTAATTATAAATTATAAATTAATATCTTTATTTCACTGATGCTTTGCACGTCTGCAACACCAGAGATGTCACGCGCACGTTGCCCACCTTAAGAAACCTTAATACACCCTTTTTAAAGAATGTATACTTAGTCCAACTATTCTACTATCTTATTCCTAAAATCCTGAAACAATTTGAGCTATTATTCTGACTTGGGATGTTTTCCAATCATTTTAATATGATTTTATTTAAATTTTTACATGTTTTATACATCAAAACAGTACAGATACATTGCCACACAAATTCTTTTCTTTTTTTTATCTAAAATAACCTAAGCAATAATAATTTACTTTGTGGTTTTTCCAATAATGTATGTAATGTAAAATAAATTTCACAAAATTTCAATCAGAATTCAGCTAATACAGACATTTTTGAGCTTACATAGGGTAAAAAATTTACATGTAAAAACATGCAATTACGATTTTGTTCGACATCTATTTAAGTCGATGTCTATGGTGATACCTACACGGGTGAGTCACATAAAACTCAACCGTAAATTACATAGATTATGTGTCGTTAATGGGCGCTTTTACAGATTACGTTAGCACAGGACTGCACGATTTTATCGTCATGGTACATGTAATAGGTAAACAAAATGTAAGCGATTGTATAAAGACACTTTAAATTTTGCATTCACGTTCGCGAAAACGGTATGATGTAATCGTTGACCGAAAAATTAAAAGTATCAGCTTTTATTTTGCTTTTTATTTCGTAATTTAATCTTCTGTTGTTTATCATATATTCTTTCTATAAGAAATTTATGACTAATTACTTTTGTATTGTCCTATTCTATACAATTGTTCGTGCACGTCCGCAATATCGAGATGACATTATCGTGAGCGAAAAATTAAAAGTACTTTCATTCTACTACGTAAATTTTACTTTCCTTTTATTCTTCATTCTATTGTATTTTTTGTTTCTTTAATTTTTCATATACTAGGAATAGTTAACAATATCGACATAATATTATCGCCGATGGAAAATTAAAAGCACATATTTTCCTTTCGTAATTTTTTATTTTCTGTTGTATTTCTTAGTTCTTTTAATTTTCCATGCATGCCCATGATATTCACAATATCGGCATGACGTTATCGTGACGGAAAATTAAAAACGTCTTTATACAATTATTTTTTTCTTATCGTGCCGTGTCGTGCCGTGCTACAGTAAATTATAAAAGCGCCCATTATACTACAATAGAAGTTTCGGTTATCGTAAAGTTTCGTGTTTGGCTGCAATTCTATTCCCGGTCTAAAACTGAACATCTACATACTATACATTTAGCTGCATGAAATAATATCATAGTTGGATAACAACTGGGGGTAACTTTATCCAAATGGACGATATAGGTCTGTTGTTTATTAACAAAGTATATTCCCTATTGATAATAAAATAATTTATTTTACAAAAGAGGCATTGCATTTTAACAGAATACGAGTATGTACTTGGGTATGAGAATAAAAATATTTTCAATGTACCTAAACCCACGATCCACAGTTGATAAATGATCGAAAAAATACAATCGAATTGAGAATCTAATGCTTATTGGATGTTAGTTAAAAAATAATATGAGATTTTATATTTGAAGACTAGTTGAGTCTGTATTATCGATATATTATTATGTAGCTATCTAATAGGTAATTCAAAGATCTCATGTATGCATTTCAGATATCAAACGAATGTAACAAATTGAATGGTTGGATCGACGAAGCAAGAGATCTTTCCAAAGATAAAGACTACTATTATGGAAACTTAGATAGAGACAATTGGAACTAGTTTATCTCTGCTTATTTCCTAGAGGTATCAGCGTGTATGTATAAATAAATAGTTAAACGAAAAAATGGATATTTATTATTCACAGATGTGAAAACTAGAATGTATTTACAACGATCCTAGCCGCGGTTTTGTTTTTCTTTTTTTTTTCGCACCGGCCCTCCTTTGACGCGTACTCTTTGTTTTGTGGCTATTGTTCGTGTCTTGTTTATTTTTAACCATTTTGTCTACAGTCTGAACACATTCATTAGCGGTCGAGCGGATGTCATTGTAGTGGCAAGGAAGAGTAAATAGAATTAGGAATATCACACTATACAAATAAGTAATCTGTTATTGAAACGACAATTCCATTAATCCATAATGACATTATTGTATCTGACCTCAGCTGTTCTAAAACTATCTCATTTATTAAATATTCAAAAATTCGTATTACCGGTTTACACGTTGTCACAGAAATCTGTATCTAAATACTATGATATAAATGAAGGAATAAGTATTATTTCTTTGTATTTTACAGCATGGAGAATAAAGCAAAATAACTAATAAATGTAACTATATATTTATATATGTAACTATATAAAGTACAAGTATTTTTAATAATATTGTATAATCTATATAATGAAGACCCATCAAGAAGTCATAACACAAACAGTGAATTATACTATTACATACATTTTCAAGATTATTTATATATAAATTCATCCAAAAACAATGCATATATTTAACAGTCGAGCAAAGAAGATAAATTACCAAAAAATATGTGCAGGCAAACTGTAACAAAGAACCGTACCTACTTGAACTTTACTTTTAAATTGACAACATAAAGGAAGAGTTATGAAACGGTAAAGGGGAAAATCAGTGAGTTCCCTATATAATACACGCAATATTTCTTTCTACACTCTGCCCAATTTCACACGTGTATTTCTCACCATAAATAAACAGTTTACTTTTTCCTTGACGTATAAAAAAATAAAGAGAAGCACAGAGAGTTGGTAGCTTATTAAAAAATAAAACTTTTAGAAAAAAATCCTATGTTACAGGAAATAAAATGGTTTACTTCAATATTTCGTATATAAATGAACGATAAGCTTGTTGACACTCTATAGTAAATAATAAGTGTAATACCTCAATAAATACGGTATATTTGTACATAAATGAAATTGTAGGTTAGATCTAGAATAATAATACTCTTCAATTAAGATTAAACATAGAGATAGATGTTGCAAGTATACGTACGAGTATGTATATATCTTTTTATCTGCGATCTAAGCTACTTACCTTAATGATGTAGCTAACTCTCTCCCGTTCTAAACTCTATAAAAAATATTATTTATCTATAATACTTAACATTGAGATTTTCAAATATCCTATATTAAAAAAATACTATATTTCTCAATTTTCTAAACTTTTTTCCGAATGTATAAGAACTCAGAATTGAAATTTAGAGATTAATAGATAACTAAGTGCCAAAACTAAAAGTCAAAAATTGCATGTATATCTGTAGGTAAATTATCTTATTGTGTTATATGTCTATTATACTGCAACCGTAAGAATAAGAAAGAGTAATTAATACAATCTCGTGTTTCTTATGCATACCGTAGCGTAAACGTGAACATAAAATAAATTTGCGTATTCTTTGAATAACAAATTTAGAAACTAATAGTCATTACACAACAATTATAAGTTGCTAAGTAGTAGTAATACAAAAAAATAATTCACCCTCTTTTTCCCAAGTGAGTACAAACGTAAAGGCATATCTATTATCCGATTTTATCGCGTCTTCATACACAATAGCACTCTCCATATGAATAATGGTAGAACTATACACGTCAGACAGAACTGAGATATAAATCTTTCAATAATCGATGTTGCTGGGATGTTTATTTATTGCATCGATACGGGAGTATCGAGATCTTGCGGAGTTTTTTTTTTTTTCACAATAATAACAATAGCGTGATTTATTGTACTCGCCGAAACTGTATCGAGTTTCCGATGAACCTTTCTAGGGATCTTGGTAAATATTCTATTAAATGTTGCCCTTAGAATATCTTAAATGGTAACCTTTAGCGCCGCACGCCTACCTTCGATTCTTTATTGCACACTTTTTCTATTGCAATGGTTTTATTTATTTTTCTTTTTCTTTTCGGAGAGATACAAATAGTGTGAGAGGTTCGTTGTAGATTTTTGGATGTTGGAATGTTCAAGTGGGTGTGTCTGTCGTATTTCAAACGGACTGGACTGGTATTTAATTTCTTGTTTTATTTTTTAATAATGAATGTTTCTCTTGATATTTAGTTATCATTTTTCATTCAGGTCATTCATGGTCGTCCTTTCTCCAATGTTACTTTTTTACTTTTTATGCAAATTGTATCTTAGGAAATTTTGACAAATTCTGTAAGTAAAAGATCTTCAAACATTTATATTGTTCTATATTTGTATAAATAAAACAATCTCTTAATTAACAGAAGTGTTACTTATATATTTTTACTTAAAGTCATATACTATGCTATAAAGCAATTGTTTAATCTCAATGCAAAGAAAATATGAAGCGATCAATAGTTAATTATAATAATTAATTTGTATTATAAATTATCTAATAACACGTTAAGGTCTCGCCTGTTTTATATTAATATCCTTTATAATTGTGATTTGGCACTATGTTAATTATATTTATATTATAAAAGTTAAGTACTAAAATTATTACTATTAAGGCCTGTTCACACATAAACAATTATCATTAACAATCCAACGTTAAACATGATACATAGAATAATGTATAAACGATCATAACGATTCTTTCTAAAGGATTCATAAGACAATTTATAAATGTGTGAATAAGGCCTTAATATTAGATTTTAAATTAGATAAGCATAACAATAAGTTACTTTATTTTATATGTGCATGAAATTGTATAAATAAAACAGTACTTACATCACAAAAAAAATCTTATTCGCGTAAACTAAATAGTAATAAAAAATCGTCCAATACAATATCAAAATTATTAAAAATCGCAAAAATACGACAACCGCTCGATCTAAAATAATAATTCTCGGGCAGAGGACGAAAAAGAAGAAACCGAGCCGCCTCCGGAACTGGTGACAGAAGATATACCGCCAATACCAGCAGTACCTCCCGTCAACGATACTGGAAATATTTTTATTCGTTACCTCACACGTAAGTTTCTGTATTAACTAATTAAATGACTCCTGTTTCAGGGTTGCCGAGCTCTAAATTTCGCGGAGGCGTATTGGAAAAACTATTTCTTTATTATTTCATCGTTGACATCAGAAATTACTTTATTACCATATATTTTGCAATAATTTTTTACTTATATGTATTCGTTTGAAATTCCATTTATATTCATAAAAAAAATACGAATATATAGATAAAAATGAATTAAACCATTAGGAACTCAATTCTTGGAATACCTTTCCTCGTATTAATATAAACGTAGCTTAAATTTAATTTGGTTTATTATTTATATTATTTCTTTTATAAAATATATTATTTCATTATTCTAAACAATGTTCAATTTATCCGGTGTTTGTTTTTTATTAACGTTAATTTATTATTGGATAGATTTGTAAATATAACGAATGGATAGATAATTGGTATCTTGTCATTATTACCTATTCACAGTTTTCCCACATAAGAACCAAATAATTATATACCTACTAATAAATGCAATATTAGATATTATCTAATAAATGCAAATATTTTACTAATTAAAGGGGTATTTTATTTTCATTATTATTTTTAAAGAGCAATGGGAATGAAGATATGCTATAGCCTAATTAAACCATATCTCTCAAAATCGTTAAATCTAAATATAGTTCCTATTTTATATATATCTATTGGTTTTCGATGCATATTTGATTATATATTCCTAATGAAAATAGCCACTGGCGTAGGCGTAGATTCGTCTATTTCAATTAACTACATTTGAGTTCGTGGTTTCATTTATGCATTATTAACTTGTTCATTTTAAGGTAGGCCGCTTCCCTATTGTGGCTAGCAGAATACTGTTTGGTAGTCGATTTCGACTGGCTATATGATCAGTTAGTAGGTAGGCTTGCAAATAAAATGTAGTTGTTTAGGTTTTCCTTTTTATATAATAATTTAATAATAACAATAAATACTCGACTCACACACATTACACAGTGTCATCTGGTGATAAACTAAGCAGAACTTGTACTTTGAGCACACACAATTAATATTGTTTTGATTTCGGTTTTGCACTACTACTGCCTACTCATTATTTCCTATGCCACTGAGCTGGATTGGATGGAAGAGATCTCTTTTAGAGATAAGTTCACCCTTGTTTACTTTTTTCCATTTGTTATTATTACTGCATGGTTTAGTGTAATAAAGAATATTTATAAAATTAATACAATAATTTTAATATTATTTTATTAATATTTCTTTTTGTAAATACGTACTAAATATACATAAAAGATACCCTGCCCAAACAAATGCTTATCTTGTATTCTATTAGATTAGAATCGATAAAAATCGGAAGGAGAGGTAGTCTGTGCTATATCACTTAAATACTCGTAATCACAATTTTTTGTTCAATCGACTTCAAAAAGAATGATCCTCTGTGTTGTATTTGTGTTTAATGTTTGTTACCTCATAACTGCGTCAGTTGTAAACCGATTTAGTAAAATCTTTTTTTACCATAAAGAATGTACTTACAAATTGGTCCCATTTTATCGAAATTGGTTCAGTAGTTTAGATTTTAAATCAAAATAATTGGTTTTGCTGTAATTGAAATTGGTTTCTTTTCGTACAATACAATCTTAATTCAAAAAGCAAACCGACTTCAAAAATAAATTTGAAAATTAGTATCACCCAAAAATACTCCTCATTATTTTCGATAAAAATGGAATTATCAAAAAAAATCATAATTGACGATAATATCCCGTAACACACAAAAAAGGACAAACAAATCGAGGATCTTTTTGATGTCGGTTAAAAAGAAATAGCGATGTTTGTCGGTGTGTACAATTTGCTCGTTAATAGAAGTCGTTCTATCAAACAGTATGGCACAGTTCCATTATTCCGGGCCGATTGTAAAACAAGCTGAATGTTAGAGTAAACGCAGAATTCATACTCGGCAATATCGCTTTGTTTACTAATAACGAGTCGGGTTTCATTGTACACATAGCAACAAAAGTGATTGTAACCATTCATCAATTGTAGACTTTATTGTGGGTAATAACTTGTGTTCATCTATGCTTGTAATGGCCGTATCCAGTTTTATTATGACTGCAGTACGTCGAATACTTAAAGGTTTTTAATGTACTCGAGTATGTTACGGAGAAGTCATTCGAAGTTTAATGGTGTCTACATGATAAGGAATAATGGTAAAAATATTGATGTAACAACAAATCCAAGATTCACATGCTCTTATAAAAGATAAACTGAAGAATATTTTAAATTCAGACTAAAATATAAATAATTATTCTAGGACTAGGTATGAAAAATATGAAACGAATATTTATCGTAAATATGAATCCGTATACAGACAGTATGTTTTACAAAAATTATAACAATATTTCGGTTGTCAGCTTGTTTGCCATTTAAGTTGCATAAAAAAAATATTTCGGTACATTGAGTAGGAACCAAATTTGGTCATATGAGCTCTATTTTTAGCGTTCTTTTTTAATCTCTCAAATAATCATAAATACACGTTTATGGTCAAAAAAAAAACAGGTCATTTCAAATATATACATATTTTTTTAACATTATAAAGCCATTCTCATTATAAGATCAAATATAAAAATTCAGAGAAATTCATTATTTTATTTTTTTATTAATTTATTATTTTGAAACTTTTAATGTAAAATATTATTTCTGTGTGTGAGTTTTAAGGTCTCAACACCTTTTTACAGTCTAATGTTTTTTTTTATTTTTTTACTAACAATTCAATGGCAAAACACATGTTAATTTGTGCCCGGGAAAAGCTAGTCTCGCACAAAATTGTACCAGTGATAACGGCGCGATACGCTCCGCTGAGTAATGAATACTCAGCAGTAATTGATAGCAATATTCAGGCGCTGTTATTTCATTCCGCGTTCGTACTCCACGGCCTTTTGTCCGTCAATTTCGATTTTGATTTGTAGATAGCGATTAATAAATACTTAGGGATATTGTAATATTTTTGTTAACATATTTCAATGTGATATTATTTTAATAGGATGACATTAATCTTGATAAAGCATCGACTGTGATTTGTAGTGAATATGTTAATAGATATATCACATTTGCATGTTCCCAATATGACCTTTTTGTATTCGAACGCCATTATCAAAATGCGTGCATTAGTATCGACTTGAGAGGATATATATTTTCAAATTCAAATAGACTTGTTTACAAGCACTTTTAAATTATCATTTTTTTTTTAATTCTACTGCAAGGTTTGGAAAATTATTATTTCTTGAAAAGAATCCACAAGAAACTTAATAGTTACTCTCCTAAATCCCTGTTAACATTATTTGCATTTATTTAAATGTACTATTTCTAAAATTACATGGTCGTTAAAAGCCCATGCATGATCGACTAACACTATGCACATTTGTTATTCAAACAATCGTTTAGTGTGTAATAATAATGTGGCTTTGTTTAACAAGTGTTTTTAACAACAGGTAGATTCAAAATATGTTTTGGTATCTTATTACAACATTTAATGCCCATTCCCATAAAAGTCCTACTAACTTTTTCTAAATCTTGTGTTAGGAGTACTGAGATTGCTGTTTTTAAGAAACAGTTGAAGATCCTGCAACAAGATGTTTGCGTATACGTATTATTGTTAGCAATGGGACTAGTAATCCGCATTACTAACAATCCATTCCTACCAATGCTTTGCTATTAGGTAAATAGTATAAAATAATTTCAAAAACAGAATTGAAAATCTCCATCGAGTAATATTCTGTTTGTATTTGTGTAGGCTGGTTATCCAAACTGTATAGAATTCTGGATAATAAAGCCTATTTCGCAATAACATCTCCGGATAATTGGACATGTTACGAAAAGTACCTTGAGAGATGAAAGTATACGAACTCGGCAAACCCAACTCTCATATAGCCGAAATGAAATTTTCAAATGTTACATGTATTTCTTGAATAACTTATACCTAAAGTATTTTTTTCTTTTGCATTATTATGATATTTCAGCTAAAAGGTCGATTACAAATGTATAATGTACCACCGATATATAAAAAATAACAAGTGTTCAGGACGTTAATGTTGACCGCTATGTTGCATGTACTAATACATTTTGTTTCAAAAAAAAATTCAACCTAGCAAAAAAGACTTCAACCATGAACTAATTAACGAGATGTTTGTAGACGTATTGCATTGAAAGTATTTGAATTTAGAACCGGGATTCGTGTTTTTACAAGTAGTTGTTTTTTTGTTTGCTACAAGGAATTTACCAAAAGCGAAAACAAATTCTATCGTTTCAAAATGAATATGTCACCAATTTGAAAGGTAATCGTATTAAGTGCAAAAAATATTGTAAGTCACAATTCTTACAAAATAAATATAAATAAGTAAGTACTCAATTAACTTTATACAAATATGTTATGTAGGATTGTAGGTAACATTAAATGAAACCAAATACATTTACAACGTATACCTCCACTTGTGTAAATATATGAAACTACATGCAGAACGTATTATATACAGAACAGAGGCGACCAAACATTAGAGAGGAAACGCTAACATACCCTCGAGAAATCTAAATATATTTTGGCTATGTAAATTTAATCATAAGGAAATAGTAATAGAATTTCTTTAATACTTAAACTTGCTTATTTCAATAAAATAAATGTAATACCTATAAATGTTTATTGCAATTAATTTTTAAACCATTCGAATCTTCTAGAATATATTTTGAACATATTTTTATTTAATTGTAAATAAATTTTTTGATGTAATAAAGGATTTACGTATAATACTTTTAGAATACAATTGATAGTCTATTTGCCAAATATTTGATGACATTTTTGTCATCAAATATGCACACATATGTACTAAGAATATTCTCAAACGAAATTCAGAGCACCTTACCCCAAAAGACGAATAATGAGAGCGAAATCCTTTCAATTCGACAATTTAATTTTAAGCTCCGCGTCTAGGCTTTGCGTAATTTAATCCAGCCCGGTTAGCGCGTTTGGTGGAAGAAAAAAAATGGGTACCTTTTATTTGAATGCGTGCACTGGCACGTTCTGAGCCCGTTTCAATCCCGCACACATATAGAACGTGACCATTCACATAGTCGTCCGTTGAGGAATAAACATATTCGTCACCATTTTTTTTCTAGTCTCCGCGCGCTGGACGTGATTCAAAAGAAAATATTCCAATCTCCACAATTCACGTAGTTAGCAAGATCAGTGCCACCGACCCGTAATTGGGCATCGAGTACCCAGTCATTAAGTTCCCTTTCGGGCATCACAAGGGCAATTCAGATGGCACTTTTACTCGCGGTTGTACTGCCACCGACATCATTTTTTATTCCGTATTCCACAGTATCCAATTAACTTCTATTCACGTCATGAATATAAGAATTCTATTCATCAGTTTCGTAATATCCTAATAAAGGATAAACTTTCGGTTTTCTCGTCATTCGTACATTTGCGAGTATGTGAATATTATATAGGATTCAACATTTTATGCTATCTCGTGAGCCACGTGGGTCCCTCGGTCCGTTTTGATATGAATTGTTTCACGCACCCACAGATTATACGGAAAGCGGATCTACCTTTTTTCAAATATCTCTAATCTCAGCCGACCTCTGCGGTGTCCGTTTCATGAATATTTTAACTCGTGTGTGACAGTGTAGATATACGTATATCTGGAACTTGTTCATTAATGTCACATCGGTCGATTTCTGCCCTTGGGACATCCCTTGCTCGATACGTACAACTAAATAGGGTTTCATTTTCTAGTTCAGAAATCAAACGCTCCCCGCGGTATGCGTTCAATGTTCTTTTTCTGATAGTCCCTTTAGATATTTTTGTTCCAGATCGTTGCACGACACGGTATACTTCCTTTGCAGACATACGTAATTGTTTTGTTGCTTAGAACGCATTTTTTCTACAGGGTAATATCATTAGTTTTGTTTTACTTAATGAAAATGTACCTCGACGCCGTCTCAGAGTCATTTTGTAGGAAACAGTTCTGTTTTTTCTACGTCATAGACAAAGGACCCAAGTTCTAGTCAGAATATTAAATTTACCTTTTAAATAAAAATTGGAAATAAACGCACTGTGTACTACTTCATTGTGAAATCTGAATGTAGAAGATATAATTACGTATTTATTAAATGTTATATGTAATCTTTGCTAGTTGTAAACCGATTTTAATTGTTTACTTTTTAATCGATAAGTATTATTTCCTAATTCTAAAATTCTATTATAACATTGAAGTAAATTCTTGTGGATCTAATTATTGCTGTCAGTTGCCACCGTTCTCCAGCTTCGTATAAAAACTTTTATACATGCTTTCTCTACATAGCTTAAGTCTGTACATAAACATGTAGGGTACGGGGACTTAAGTCAAGTCCTTAATTTATTCATAGTCGAAAATTGGATCGGAATAGATCGAGTGCGGTGCCGATTATTCGTCCGGTAGTAAAAGTCCGATGAATATCCATAATTCATACCCACAACTTTGGCCGACTGTTCGGATTAGTTACAAGCTGCGGCTAAGGGACAGACAATTTGCATTTTGGGTAGCTGATATGAAGTTTTTTATTAGATTATTACCCCGTACTCGTATTTTGACAACCTTAGTGTTAGTGTATGTTTAACATACTGTTTTGCCTTCCAGTAATCGAGATTTCAATTCGTATTATACAAAAACTAGTTGTCGAGTTTTCTGAACCAGTTTCTACTAGTTTAGTGGTTTTATATTTGTTATTGTGTAGGTATGTATTTAAAAAAATAAGTGCATGTATCGATCATTCAGGACTAATAGTATACGCTCTACTCAGTTTAGAAGTAAAACGTGTATCGCTGTGTAACATGTTTAAGGTAATTTACTCTATAAATGAGTATTTCTTGCTAAAGTGAAGAAAGAAGGAAAAATGTGAGTATCACACAAACTTCTTTTTATCCCCAAGATATCATAAGAGATATCTAGGAGAACGTACAAAATACGACTATGGTTAGAAGAAAGACACTAGGAATAAAATTCTATACCAAACCACCTGGCCAACAAAGTAACAAGGGGAGACGCGTACTCAGTAATAAGACATTAGTTGATTGTAATGAAGTTAATTGTTCATATTTTGACCTATAGTATTAATTAGGTATCTATATCTCTATATATCCCACTGCTCCGCTAAATTGGTACATAAATTATCTTATATCCTAAGTTGGGATATAATTTTGGGTACATTATAAAATATACCAAAATTCATTTAAATCTATCGATTCCTTTTTTGCATAAAAGAATAATAAACATCCATCCATCCATTTATCTATCCATCGTTACAAATTTTCGCATTTATTATATTAAAATAGGATTATTAATTTTCAGTTTAATGTATTGTAGTTTGAATTTACTCTGTTTACTTTGTTTATACAGTTTAAATATTGGCATTTATTGTTTCATTAGCTATTCATCAAATAAATACACTCTGTATTTATTAGTAAAGATATACCCTCAAAGGAATAATTTTAACTGATTTATGATTTGCGTTTATAGGGAAACAGTATCGAGCATTGTATTAAATTAATATATTATGAGTCCAAATTAATGTTGTATATATAGTATATTTTAATGAATATTTCCTTTTGTGTTTCTATCTTAGATTTTTTGATTTTAATTTTCTTTGGTGAACTTTACCGGAATATATAAAAATGCATGCAAAATTAATTCTAAATCCTACATTAATAGAGTCTATTTTTGTGTGTGTGTGCAGACCCGCCGGAGATCACGATCCGCCCCCGAAACCTGCAAGTACGCGCGAACGGCATCGCCGCGTTCTACTGCGCCGCCCGCGGCGACCCCATACCGAACATACAGTGGCGAAAAAACGGAAAACGAGTATCAAGTAAGTAAAATTATATAAAAAAATACTGTTGTTTTAATTATTATTTTGTTTTGGTTACCGATATTTTACTTTATTCTCTTTTTCTACTAAATTCCGCTACGATAATTGATTTACATTTACTAAACAACATCATCATCATCATCATATCAACTGTTTATGTTCAGCAGTGGATGATTAAGTCCACTCCTTAGTCGAGTTTTACGACACCCATGAGAAAGGAAGGGGTGGCCTATTCTATACCAGAACCACATGGCCACTAAACAATATAAATAGTAGTGAAATATAACGGAATAGATTAAGTTTCTCTTAATCTATTCTGTAATCAATTCTTTTACTAAACAAAATTATTAATTTAGCAGCAACATTACAATTTAAAAACTTACCAATAATTTACAATTTTCTTCTTTTTCTACTAAATTCTACTACAATAATTGATTTACATTTACTTACATTGTCTAACTGCTAAAGGATTTGGCATGATTTAATGGCCGGCCGCTTGCCTGACACCAAACCTCCTTGGGAAAGCAAGTTGATTTATATTTGCTAAACATTATAAATCGTAATTATTGGTATTATATATAACGTAATAGGTTACGAATAAATAATAATTTATGCTACTAAACAGAACAATTAATTGGCGACAATTTTGCAATTGCAATTTTAAAAACTTACTAATTGTTTTAGTATATACATATTTCACTATATTCATGTACCCAATTATTTCTATTAGTTTTTAACCATCTTTCAATTGATAGGCCAGGAAAAAAACTAATGTAAATAACCTTTGAAAATGCCTCGAGTGGCGAAAACGGTCAGGTGTTTATTATAAACACCTTTTTTCTAGAAGAGTATAAATGGTTTTCTGATATTATTAACACTACAATAATTTGATTCGTAGATATATAAGTAATGGAATATATAATAATACAGTAAAATATTACATATTTTATATACAGATCTTATTATAGAATGGACAGTTTTTTACTGTTCAAAAAATAATAGCTGCTCTAATTGCCACGAAATTAATATGGACCCAAAAGGGGAGTCAATCCTGTTGATTACAAAATAACATCAAATTTGATTCAGAATTGATTTAATCATATTAGATAGCCACAATAACTTCTATTAAACCAATTAATTTGGAAACTAAAGTACTCAAAGGATTTTGATTTAATTTCTATGGAACCAATCTAAAAGTATATCCTGACAGATAAAAAAAAAAATTTTCAAATGCGTTTATAACTGACGGAGTTATGAGGTAACAAACATAAAAAAAAAGAAAAATATTACGAGATTCAGAAGCTCCTTTCGAAAGTAGTTTAAAAATATAAACAGTTATTCTCTTGCTTCGACAATACAAAGTCGTAGGTACAAACATGCGAAAAACATTACAATTTGGCGGGTAAAAAATGCACATTCTCATTTATGACTCCCTCGGGCCTAGAGTATGTCAGTGGATGCCTCTCCCCTAAACAATTCAAAGGATTAACAAAATAAATCATACTCAACGTTGTAGGCATTTCTATTGAGGGTTTTAAGACATATATGTAGGTGTTTACATTTCTGAGAAACGTAGCATTTCTTTCATAGAATGAATACCATAATGAATTCATAATACATTAGACATTACCGTGAACTTCAGAATAAGTTTTTAGATACAGATAGATTTGGAGTACAGGCCACATATATGATTATTTACTAAATTTAGAATTGACACGCAACTCTGTTGTTTCTTTTTTGGCTTTCCATCACGGCCCTTATTTCCTAAGTTCCTTCTATACATATATACATATTTTGAATTTCCATTTCTGGTTTCGTTTGTCGCCCACCTATCTTGATATGTAACGGAATTTTTTATAAACTTACTATGTTTGTCGCCAATATGTATGTAGCTTTTAACATAATTTTTTTACTAAATTAATTCTTTACAATGTTTACTAAATAAATACGATTACATCAGATTTCAACAAAAGGAGATTTTGTACAAAAGTGTTCTGCTTTTGTACCCCTCTGTATTCGTTTTTCTGCCGTAAAGAAATTGTGCTTGCATGACTGTATTTCGGTTTGTAGGGTGGGATATATGTAGCAATGAAATTACAGAATACAGGTGCATAACACCTTAGTCCACAGAAATAGCAATGTATGTGAGGTATTATAGACAAGACAGTTTACTATTATGTATGTATATACATATGTAGTATTACTCTGTTTTGGCCATAGTACTGTTCATGTGTACTGCGACGGTAACCATATTACATCAGGTGGGCTGTCAGCTTGTTTGCCATTGTAAGTTACATAAAGAAATCACTAAGTTACAAATATAGATTTAAAGAATATTTATTTATATATTTATTATTTAAAAGTACATGTTCTGCTTCAAAATGTCTACAAACTCTTTTTAATCGTCACTTTTTATGTTATTATTGCTGGGTCCGGAATGTTGTTATTTGCTGAGAATAATTGGTAAGAAACTCTATAATTACTCTAACATGACTGTTGTCTATGATTATAGTATCATAATAACATTTTGATTATGTCATTTCTTATAATATTTACTAAAAGATACATACATCTCCCACTCGGAAAAATCAATTAAGAGACTTATGAAACGGAAGATAAATCTTTATGTAAATAGACTAAAATAGACATAAATGCTCTTTTATTTCGTCATTTTTTTATTATTTTACTGCTGATTTTAGAATGTTATTATTTGCTAAGAGGAAATCACAAGAAGTGATTCTTGCAACTGTCAACTGGTAGTCACTTTATTTTCAAATATTCGTAATTCTGATATATTTATATTGTCGTAAGTAAGTAATACATAAGTATTACTTACTTATAATTATTGGAAAACCTTCAAGAAGTCTAAAAAAGTATCTTAAAAATTTAAAAACTTCAATTTTGTATTTGCAAATGTACCAATAAAAATCCCTTTCATTGATACTAAAATCTCTCGTATTAGGCAAAAAGTAGCATCTAGTTAACAACAATACAATTTATAGGAACAATTAAAATTAGATGACACTAGAGGAAATGTGATCACTTGTAAAATTAGTTATTTCAGAGTTAACAATTGTAACATTCTCCATCGAATTATTTATATGTATACAGACATTATAACAGAAGTTTGTAATAGCCCGATTATATGTTATCATAACTATAGTCAACTCAGTAGAATAGACTATATAAACTGAAGGGAAAAAGCTGAACGTATGAGAAACGCAAACCATTACTTCCACTATTTTTATTCGTGATTGAAATGTAAAACCCCCGTTTTTGGCCCATAAATATCTGGGGCCGGTAATGACGTCTATAAGCCTGAGGCAATGAGCTGAAAAAACGTATCGGCCACGCACGCGAAATCCCCCCTTTAGGGGCTCAACACACTAGCAACTTGCTGTATCAACGACTTAGTAGTTTCTTTTTTAACTCTCGACGTAAAAGGACGGATGGTATTTGAACTCTTTATCTGTACATCTGTGACATTATAGCTTCCGAAAAGTTAGATCTATTTCAGTGCAGTTTTTTTTTGTTTGAACACTGGTGATCGTTTTTTTTTTTTAATCAGGATACCTCAGCGGGTAGAATCGAAAGTTTAGGATTAAAACAGCTCGGTTTTGCAGCCACAACCTCTAATTTGAACGTGGATGGTTTATATATGCCAAATGCAATATTTTTAAATGTAGTACTAATTTCCACTCTTAGTCATATTTTTGTCTGTCGTACCAAATATAGAACTGATAGTTTCTCCCAAATGAAAACTCAACAATGCATAATATTTACCCAATGGTATCACAAAATAATTAAAAACTATTATTATTAAACAAGTATGTGGCAAACATCTGTAGTAGTACTGATAAATATGCCTGTAACTCTACGTGATGTGTTATGTGTTACGTTACCAATCATAGTTATTTGCCTGAGCTCCTTTAATCTTGCTCATGCATAATAATAATTATTTAAATATAAAAATACACGATATATCCATTATGTATTCATGATAATTATCGTAAAAATAAGTAACCTGCCTTTCGCTTATAAAAATACTGGGTATATTTAAAAGCAGTGCGTGAAATTAAAAGCAGCTGAACGATAAAATAATAAAAGGTCTAACTAAAATGGTAATTTCTAGGAATAGGCTTTCAAAACATCCAGATAGCTAGACCGATAAATAGGAAAGTAGAAACGAATGTAAAAGTTTTGTAATGAGCACGAAATAAAATATGAATACTAAATATATATATATATATATATATATATATTACTTAATGTCTTTTTCAACTGTAGCAATCAAGCATACGTTTCGCCTGAAGTAAACAACCACCGCATCTCATGAATGCTTGCAACACTAAACACATTGCTCATTGCCAACCCCTTGTAACATAAGGTCTTGACTTTATTCAGAAATTACAATTCCTTATCTACTATTCAAACCGGAAAACAGCAAATGAAAGGATTGTCAGTAATGGGGTTTAGCGGCTCCATTACTAGCATTAAACCGTGTCAAGTACCTTCGTGCGATCTACCTGAAAACCATTGGAATTAATTCCTACTGAATTCGTCACGAATGGCATTGGTCCATAGTGACAAATTCAGCAGGAATTAAACCCTATTAACTGGCGTAACTTACTTCACCTATTACTCAATGGTACCCTCTCAGCGTATACCCATGGCGTAGACAGGATTTCCATTCCATTTTCATCCCATTTAAATATAGAATATAGCATACAGGCAAGTTTCTTAACTCTAGAACTAATAAGTGAAACGGAAAATGTATCGACACAGACGTCCTAAATTTTTTAGTCTCTCTCTGGTAATATTTAGCAATACCTTCTAGAAGTTTATAAACCCTAATTGTTTAAGGTTTCTCCTCATTTTTATGTTACTTTTTATATGGGCTTATCCAATAGATAGGTATATATTACTAAAAGTGCAAACAAACTGACGATCCGTTTTTTAAATTTGGTTTTTTATGTTTTATGATCTGTTTATTTCGCAGT